ATCTTCTCCTACAGTGGGTGGTTCTTCATTCTCCCAGTCCCTGCCTTTGCCTTCCGTGACTTGGGTCATGCCGCTAGAGCTCTTGCCAGTGAAGACTGAGGCAAAGAAGTCATTGAGAGCCTCAGCCTTCTCCATATCCTGGGTGGCCAAGTCTCCCGTTTCCTTCCGGAGAGGGCCTACATTTTCCCTAGATCTCTTTTTATCACTGACATATCTATAGAAGTTTTTCTTGTTGCCCTTGATGTCCCTGGCCAGATTTAACTCTATCAGGGCTTTGGCTTTCCTAACCTGATCCCTGGTTACTCGGACAATTTTTCTGTATTCTTCCCAGGCTACCTGTCCTTGCTTCCACCCCCTATAGGCTTTCTTTTTGTGCCCGAGTTGGTCCAGGAGCTCCTTATTCATCCATGCGGGCCTCCTGGCGTTCCTACCTGACTTTCTCTTTGTTGTGATGCACTGCTCCCGAGCTTGGAGGAGGTGATCCTTGAATATTAATAATTACATCAGGCCTGATGCAAGGGATGTACACATCTAGTACAGAGTAGTTCCAGTTGGAAGTTACCTACAACAATCACCTAGTCCAACTGCCTGACTGCTCCAGGGCTGACCAAAAGTTAAAGCATGTTATTAAGGGCATTGTTCAAATGCCTCTAAAAAACTGACAGGCTTGGGGCATAGACCATCTCTCTAGGAAGCCTCTTCAGTGTTTGACTACCTTCCTGGTAAAGAAACGTCTCCTAAAAATTTTCAAATTAAGAGGCTGCAACCAATGATCTGGTTGTCGGTGGAAGGACAGGATTTCTTCCTAACTAAGGATGAGAAAATCCTTGGGTCAAAAAGAGATCTGAATCCAAATACCTCCAAAGATGAGACTGGGGCACAGAAAAAGTGTTTTCTGGAATTAAGACCTCCTGCCATGACAACAGCTCAAGAACATCGGATTACACCTAGATCCTCAGCCATGAAAACTGAACAGCTTGTCATCTGAACCATTCGCAAGCGGAATCTTCAGGGCTAATTAGAGGAACAGCTACGCTATAAGCACAGATACTCTCTTGTCATCTTCTTTCCAACATTTCACAGCTACCTTTGGCGTATTGACTCTTTAAACCAGGACAGGTCTCAACATCCTAATCCTACCCTGCAGATTACATAAAAGACAACACTGATGATAGTTTGGAAGTAGGTAGAGAGTCAAAGAACAGTGTCATCAATGAACCAGTACTAACTAAAGTACAAAAGGGACAAACTCAAGCACAAAAGGGAAGTCTACAGAAGGTGGAAGCAAGGAGAGGTAGCCTGGGAGGAACACAGATAAATTGTCTGAGCAGCCAAGGGTCAGGTTAGGAAAGCTAAAGCCCTGATAGAATTCAATCTGTCCCGGTTCATCAAGGGCAGCAACAATAACAATTAAAAAAAACATCTGCCAGCTAGTATGGTCTATAAGAGCAAGAGATCCTCCCTACTCCCCTTCCAGAAAGAAGAGAAAGAACAAAGAATAGATATCCTCAGTAAAGGATAACATGAGACAGAAAGGCACCAGCTTATATAACAGGAGGACCCACTGTAAACATGGGACCTGCTGAAGGAGTAGAAGTGAGCTGCTCAGACCCGTGAAACTTAACCTATTTGGCAGACATGCCATGCGTTGAACTTAATCGTAGGGATGTTCTATTTCTACACAGGACTTCCTGAACACCAGACTGAGTGTACAAGCACAGCATACTGTACATGACTGGCACATGCACAGCAAGCCCAACACAGCAGGCATTGGATTTATGGTATCTGTACAGACTAAATGCACAGTAAAATCAACATTTTTAAGGCATGAGAAACTAATTCTGAGATTCCAGGCTTATGGCAGACAGATGGGTGCTACTGCATTCACCCTTAGGGTAAGACATTATTTATAACCTTTCATTGTCCTAATAACTCACTAAGAACTGAGCTTTTTACACTCAAGTACTCAAAACATTTGTTATCTGTCTAAAAACTGCAGGTTACAAAGTACTGGGATTATTAAGGTAAGTAGCAAGCACACCAGTGACTTGTAGTTGTAACTATCAAAGAAATTTTCATTAACAAAAGGAGTTTTATAACTAGAGGTCAAGATGCCGGTTTTCTTATCAACCTATCAGAAATTCAATTTGTATACATTTTGCAAGGATTGTAAGATTAAAATCTTCAAGATTTTAATAAAGTTCAACTTTGGAACAAGGAAAACCCACATCAGGGAAAAAATGGTACGCAACAGTGAAAACTAAATGCACAAGAAACACTGATTAAGCAATGAGCTCCCAGCCAGATTGTCTGGTGTTACAATTCAACTGTCAGATTAAGATATGCAATGAGAAGTAATCCAAAAAGCCCCTAAAACAACTCACAAGATTTCCACTAAAGTGAACCTTCTCTTCTGTTTCCTCACATGAAGTTCCTTTCATCCTTCAAATTATATTTATCAAATGAGAAACCCATTCTTCTCCAAAACACGTCTTAAATTAAAATACCAGTTAAATTAAGCACACTTCAAAAAAATCCCAAATCCCTCTGTTTGGAAAGTCTATTACTAAGAACACTATGCATTATTAGTAAAAATGATGATCTGGAACTTAAAAAAATGCCTTTGTCATCTTACAGATACTAATAGAAAAATAGAACTAATGCTGTCACTGAGATGTGACACAAAATCATTCCTTGAGCCAACCATTGGCAGTTTAAATTATCACTGTAACTGGACATATTTTACACACCTATCCATACAAATCAACAAAGAATAAAAGCAAAGTGATACAGGTAGTTATGGATGACTTCAGAATTTCCTGTAACACATTATGACTCTCAGAATCCGAATCTCAGCCTTCCAGATGCTCTGCTTAGAGATGTTGTTCCTCTATGAACATGTATTAATCTCACCAATTGGATAATATTCAAAACAACAAGTAAATCAAAGTTAGAATTATTTAGTGAGGACAAAACAAAAAAGTGAAAGAACAGAGTGCAGGTAAAATAAAGTGCTCACCATTAAAAGGTATTCCACTGCTCTGTCAGGATTGTTGAAGCTGGCTCTCAGTGCCGCAATTACTTGCTCTCGTTCATAGCCCATTGACATGATCTCAGTCACCATATTCTCATAGGACTGACCTGTCACTAGAAGTAACATGACCACCAGTTTAAGGGAATAGGACAAAAAAAAAGGACAAAAAAAGTTTCAATGGATAAATTTCATTTCTACCCAAACCTGAGTTTGCTCACTGAAGACTAAAGAATAGCTCACATTGAGTTTGCTATAGTTCAGTTGCTTTAACTCCAAATATATTCTAGTGGTTTCATTATGCATCTGATTGAAATAGTAGAGGGTAACGAACACAATGCAAAGTTATATTGAAAAAGCAGCACTTGTGATACTTCTTTACTCGAAACAGTATTCCCTCTTTATGCTTTCACCTAAGCTGAAAGGCACCTTCTCAGTTAACACTTAATTCCTGATGTAATCAAGAAAAGTCTCTTGCAGCATAAGTTTGGAAATTAAACTTTCTAGGCAGAAATCTGCCTGTCAGACTGTTAGCCACTGAAGTTTTTTCACATACTTTACACTATGCTATGGTTAGATAGATGACAAATAGTGATGACCAAGTTACAACTGTATAGTGCTGCATGCTTGTGACGATGATGGAAATCATTTAATTAACTTAACATGGACCAACTCAAGTCAGGTAGAAGACCTAAAGTTATATCTAGGAAAGTCATTCAAGACCTCAATGAGGGTTTGGTAGAACAAGTTATGTTATTTAATTAATGTATATTTGACTAGACATCCACCACATCAAATTCCTCACCTCTTACAGCACAAATGGACTAAAACTAGCCCTTACCTGTAGCCATCAAGACAAAAGGGTACACACACTATATATGGAGCAATTTAAGGACAACTGACCACTACACTAATGGTATCATAGGAAAAACTATCTTTTTTCATAATCCATGTTATTTCCCTTCCTTAAAAGCAGACAACAGGTTTAACAATCAAAAAAATCCCCACCCTATTCTATTATAAATTGTAATGGAACGTCTTAAAGGTTATCTTCGCATGCAAAAACAGAAAAAGAAAACAAACAAACCAACCCAGGCATTAAAATACCATTTCCTTCCTTGGATGAAGGTATTTGTGATCTCAGTGGAATCCTACTACTGACTCCATAACACTAGTAAGTTAGTGGCAGGAGAGTTAAATAATTAACAGTCACCACAAAAAAAACCAATAGATTAAAAAAGTAGAGGAAACAAATACTGCTAGAGCTACTCTGTTAAGAAAAGTAAGTCACATTTAAAAGAATCAAAGAAAATATTAAGTTTTATTCCCTTAGGGAAAAGGTGTTCCACTCAAGTCAACATTAATGCAACCACATTGCTTGATTTCTGAAGAACGCTTCTAAATAATCAGCAACTGAGGGCAATATACTCAAGAACAAATAATGAAACGGCCCTCAGCCAAGCATACTTGTGCATTTTCCATAAAGATAAATAATAGATTTACAACCCTTGACTAATTTGAGTATTTATTGTTCAAACTTCAAAATAATAGTACCAATCTGAGACTAAGGAATGGTAAGTTCATGTCTTCATATACAATTACAAGATCAATCATTTTACATCTACCTTTATTTTTTCAAAGACATAAAAAACTCACCTAAACTTTGCTCTAAAGATACATATTTCTGTACTTATCTTCAGAGAAGCAAACAAAGACAAGCCAACAATTGTCCCAACAGTGATTTTGATAAACTTACTGCTCATTTTCTTTCTTACACAGCGCTAATTTACCCTTATTATTGCTACTAAACTAATTAAGGTAAACAGCAGACAGAATATCTTTTGATCTAATTAGTTACTACAACATTTCTGCAGTGCTCTTTCAAGATCAGCTAAGAAGAGACTAGAACAGTATAAGAAATTTGGTACACAGAAAAAGATGTAAGAAGGTCAACCTGCTCTGGACAGAATGCTACACAAGCGATAATTGAAAGCCAAATGAAGAAACAGAATTACTGCAAATTTAGACACATGTACATATACATATACAGTTCACTTACACAAGTTGTGCAAGAGTAAGACCCAGAATAATAATTCAGGAATTGCACACCAGTAAAGTCATACAGAGTCAAGCCTATCTCTACATAGTGCTACTGGGAATGTTTGTGCGGTCAACGCTGAACTGATTCTGCTCTTTACTTCTGTCTTTCAAATAGCATTTTAAAGCTGGATTAACTTTGCAATACAGTCCATCACACACTCCTCACCATAATTCTTGTCCCCTGTCCTAAAGAAAGCTTAAGATGTTCCAGTGAAAGATACAGTTGCACAGAAACTGCAAGACGTGCAGACCATCATGTAGCACACAAAGCCACATCCGTTTTCAGTCAGTATATCCAACTGAAAACAAAAGCAGTTCAGTAGAAACCAATCCCTGGTTTTAAAGTGAAGTCAATTATCTTCAGACAACATAACTGAGAAGCCACAGGAAGAACATGCCTAGGATCCTACTTAGGATGTAAAAACATATTACATCAATTTGTGCGAGCAAATTCCTTTTAAGACAGCTTCTGAAGGAAAAGAACTACAGAGTTCATGCCTATTGTCTTTGAAAATGTTTTGGTATATAACCCTTACAGCATGCTTATCCAGGAAATTACCCTCAATGCCTGCTATTTCCAAACTGCCAGGCACATGTGGGTTTACTGTACCGGATACCAATAAAAGAACTTTCATATAATATGGATAGTGAGGTGATGCTCTCCTTGCTACATTGGAAGATTTTTTTTTTTTCCCAGTTCTGAAGACAACTGAATCAAGACCACCAGCTTAATTAAACTTGTTGGTCATTATTGTTAACATGAGTATTTGTGACGAGCACATCTCAGCCACTAAAATATAGTGAATGGTTAATGAAGCCTGCAGCGACTTTGGTAGCAGCAGTCGCTTTAAATCAACTGGTTGTCTCCTACAGTGTCTATCAGATATTTCAGCTCACACGTTTCTTCAGCCTAAAACAGTATGGCATAACATAAGACTTAACCTGTAGTTAGACAGACTAAACTTGGTGGCTACCACCAATACATGTGAAACATTACTACGGCTCCTAAATCACCTTGGGCTGCTTAATCACAACACCTGCCTCCAATATATATATATAGCTCTACACAAAAATGTTTTAACTTTTTGTACCAAATTGCAGCTTAAAGTTTATAGAGATTATAGAGATTAGACAAAACAGAAAATCCACCTATTTCTATGCCTTAATTTGCTACACTCAAAAAAAAAAAAAAAAAAAGCCCTCCAAAAAATTTAAGTAGGTGTAAGAAGTTGTGAGTTTGTCTAGTAATTTCCTGGCAATCAGAATCGGCTTAAGTGAGAGGCAGAACTTTCTATTGTTTTTACGCTGTTTATTTCACTGAGAAACAAAGACATTTAAATTGCCAAAAGAAAAGTGAATTGACTGTAAGTACGTGGAGGCATTCTCTCCTCAACCTAGATAGCAGCAGATTTGGTGAATTTATCTAATCTAAATGTGTCAAAAGACAGTACTGTCAAAGCTGGAACAAGTGAATAAAAGTAGCCATTTTATCAGACCTGCACACTGGGAAGCAAAGGTGAAAAGAAAAGCGTATACATATTTACATCCAGGCTTCTATTCAAGCCACTTCAAATAGAATAGTTAGAAGAGAAATTAAGGCAAAGGGGGTGGGGAGGGAACCAGGAATGATAAGGATCTTCCTTTTACACAATAAAAATATATGAAGTGAAATATTCTTCAGTAAAGAAGTTCTTGATGCTGGTTCTAAGTTACCAACCTCAGGTCTTAAGAGAAGAGTACTTTGATTATAACTTTAACAATGACAGACACAGAAGAGAATGTCAACATCTGCTAATCCGTCACTTGTTTCTGCTGCATCAAAGTAATGTCTACATTAAAAAAACACTCCACTTACCAAGTGCACTTATAGCATCCTCAAAAAGATTTGATCGAGATGTATCACCTGTTGTACTGTAAGATGAAGACAAGTGCAATGGTAATTACAAAACTTTGGAAAACTTCCTGTTTTTCAAAAAAAGCAGCAGCAGCTGTAACTCTAATAGCCCCTTTTGTTTCTAAAAAACCAACAAAGCTTTCCAAAGAGCACTCTCTTGGTGTTACAGTGAGACCAGATTTTACAAACTTACAATGCTACCATTTTTAACACTTAAAGGCCAATCTTCCCCCCTACCCCCCAATAGTTTGGCTCTTGCCCATCTGTTCAGGGATTAGCCATATGCTCACTTGAATGCTTTAAAGGGTGGGAGTACAAGGTGGATTTTCAAAAGCACACAGCAGTCTCACTAAATGCTTCCCCATAGTCACTGGTTTGACCTCAATGAGGACCCAAGGAGGCCAGTGGCAAGCACTTACTAAAATCTCAGCATCTTACTTTCCCAGGAATATAAACTGCTAATATTTGCAATTACTCCATTGCCGAGTTATCAAAGTTGTTAAATTACAGGACTAAAGGCTCACCTCCAAGAACACCAAAGAAATACAGAGGCACAACACGAGGCAGGGGAACTCAAGTTAACTCAGAGCCAAGGGTTGACTCTCCTGGCTCTTCCCAGGGCTGCAACTTAAAAAGCATCAGCCCCTTCCTCTCAGGGTTACACCTCTGATGGGTCAATGGGAGAGGTTCTCCAGTGTCCTTACAGATCAAGGGCATTACTGTCTACAGGGCAGTGTGACTCACCATGTGGTGCCAGCAAAAAGTATTTAGGGATTGTGCAAGACTTATTACAGGATATCTAGGGGAAAAACCAAAGGCAGGGAAAGGGAAGCATCAAGGCACCCTGCAGATGAAAAGCATGGGTCAAGAGAGGAAAAAGAGGAGAAAAAGGGCCCGTCACATGTAAATAGCACTTGCCTGGTCATGACCTGCACCCGATCCTCAGTCCATCCTGCCTTCTAATTAAATTTCATTTCTAACTATTTTTCATGCTGGGGGTCTCTCTATTCTACATGCATGTCTGTCTGGAAGCCTAAGTGCCCACAGTTGGACAGGGAACCACACGCCTGTGAAGCCAGTGACTGCAGGGACCAGGCACTGTAGAAGTCTCGGTGTCAGCAAGTGGAGAAAGGGCCACAGGGGTCCATGTGCCTGGGGTGTGGGCAACAGAAAAGACTACATTGCATCCCTATTCTGTGTGGATGCATACATTGACGTGCATGTAATCATCAGCAAGCATCAAGCTTAACTACAGCAAGCAGGGTAAGAGGCTTGAGAGCTGGGTATTGAATGGCTATAAGTCAGAGACAGCTGCTGGAGAGACCAGAGGGTCTGAGAGGAGCTGATGGAAAAAGTAACATCTGACGGCCAGCTACTGGTAAGGTCACAGACCTCAACAGCAAGTGGAGAGACTTGTTTGTGTGTCCACAAACAAGGCAACTGGGAGATCAAGGGATCTAGGGACTAGCTACCAGGTTCAGTGCATGTGTACAGCCAGGTTCTGGATGGATCCTCTGTGTGGGCGAGTATGCGTATGCATACAAAGGGAATCTGAGTATCAGCAACTGAAGAGCAGTGTTGCAGGACTCAGGCAGTCACATGCCGAGGTATCAAAAACTTGGGAGACTGGAAGATCCAGGCCCATCTAGCTATTGGAATAGACTGCCTAAGGCCAGGTACTAGAGAAATTCGTATTGTTCGTTTGTATGTTTGTATGTATGTATTTTGCACTACTGGGCTTTGCCTTGAGTAGCCAGAGGGGAACAGGACGTGACTGCTGGCGCTGCGTGGTTCCTTGAGGCTTTCTGCCTGTGTTGACTTATGCAGCCAGCCATATATATAGGTACATACATATTGTGCGTAGGTACTGGGAATACAAGTTCAACCTCGACACTTGATAGACCTGGGGACATGGAGCTGCAGCAGCCTCGCATCTATCAGGCTACCAGAGTCAGCAACTCCTATCAGCAAGTGAAAGATCATTAGATTAATTCGAACCAGTTTTCAGAAGATGCCATTAAAAATCTGACAAGGTGTTTACAGAGATGCATTTTTTATGTAAGAAAAAATTTGTTCCAACAAGAATGCTTCACTAGTACCTATCACTAGTAAGATTTACAACTAAAAAAGATCAAAGGCAAAATGGGACATCACCTTGCCTGGTCATGGCTGAAAAAATCTTCATCAGCCTTAGTAATTTAACTTCTAAAGCAAATCAGAGACAAGCAGTACTCACTGAAATCAAGGCAGGTGATAACTACAATGTATTTGTTAAATTACTCTCTTGCTTCCTGTTAAGTATGTACATTGAGGCTCCCTTACTGCAGTTTTACATCACTGCAATCTTAAGTGGAAAACCTGGAAAGCACTGTTTCAGCATGAAAGATTTAATCTAATCTTTGAACTTACTGCACAAACTGAGCGGTAAAAATACTCACTCATAAACATTAAAAAATTTTAAGTTATTCAACTGATAGATGATGCTCCACTTGTATTCCATTTTAAAAAGATGTCCATCTCTCAGAATTGCAAAATTACATCGTCAATTAGGGTATTTAGTGCAGGAAATCTGTGATGACACTTTCAAGATATTAGGCAATTGCAAATTTTGTTTCCTTATCATCAAATCAGTATTTGATGGTTTTCGAATATAACCACTTCAAAAATTAACGTCTTGTGCACTGGCATGCACATAAATAACACACAAATAATTGAAAACCAGTGTATGAAAAATGAAGACTTGATGTTATGCAGCACTTCAAGGGCCATTAAATTACAGTTAACAACATTTTTATCCCATGCAATACTTCAGAAAATTAAAGTGAGCAAAAAAGGCCACAGTGTACAACAGGGATGAAATCTCTAACTTCCATATGATTTTCTTAAATGCAGAAAACTGAGGTTAAAAGCTATCCCAACTCCCACAACTACCTGCAGATGGGCCAAGGAGAATTTAGAACAAATAAGCTTGTAGCTTTAAGACATTATGTGATTACGAGCAACACTACATCCTACACTTTAGAAGAAAAAGCTCCTTCCAGAAATTAATAGACTTTTACAGCAATAAAGAACTTATGGTTCAAATCTAAACAACATGATTCAAAACACAATCAGAGATCTAAGAACAGGACAGGACATATCCCTCTGAAGTATTTAAGAGCTTTGTGAACAGCAGATCCCCACACAGGTGAGTCTCCTCAGTCTGAAAAGAAACTTGTGCCACAGTAACTCTGAAATGCCTAACGGGAGCACAAGTCTTGTGTCATTTAACTCTGCACTCCATAGGTTTAGTCCCAAGATCACTAGTCCCACAGCAGGAGGTGTAATTGAGAGGGGAACTTCTTACTCTAAGTAATGAGCCAGAGACTGAAGTTATCGTTAGGAAAGAAGAAAAATTATGTAGAACAGAGAAAATGATTGGACTAACATTGTAATGGAAAATTCAACTTAAAACCAGAACTAGAAGCAACAGAAATGGACAGGGAAGCCATTTTTAGAATCTCATTCATACCTCTCAGTTGATGATGGGCTGACAGCAGCTGGTGCCTCAGGTGGTTTTTCTGCTGGCTTCTCTTCTTCAGGAGCACTCACAGGTGCAGATTCAGAAGCAACTGCATCTGGTGCTGGTGGTGGAGGGACAGGAGCTGGCACAGGGGCAGCAGCAGGGATTGGTGCAGTGACTGGTGTGGGAGCTGCAGTTGTCGAGGTAATAGCAGTAGCAGCGTTTGTCTGCTGAGTCACTCCAGCTGCTGCTTTGGGCTATAGGAGGACAACAGAATTCAGACACAGCACAAAGCTCCTAAGCTCATGCTTTCCATCATCAACACACTGATTAAGTTCTGTTAAGACCACCTGTGTTTGACATCACTGCCTTAGGTACAACATTAAAACACTGCAACACATTAAATCTATAATGCCTTTTAGAGTGTTTAAACAGGCAACTGACAGTGTCACTAAAGTACTTATTTAGACATCTGAGCAGTCACACTATTTGAGTATGAAATGAAACGCAAAGATAAAGATCTAAATATTTATAGACCACAGTACTCTAAATGTGAAAACAATCTACTTTTATAAAAGCCCCTTTTTCAGAAGAAACTAAAACAGGTAACAAAAGACATCTGATAAGCGTAACAAGCATTAAGGTTCTCTTAACACTTAAATTTGGGAAAAAATCATAAAGACAGAAATCACATTTCATTATGAATGCTATTTGCTGGAAAATGAAAAGCTAAAAAATTTAAACTTAACCTGAAAGAATTTTTACTTATGCAATCTTTACATTCAAAGCACTACACAGATAACATGGGCCTCTCCAGAAGGATACAGGTGACCTGGTTACTGAGGACATGGAGAAGGCTGAAATATTGAACAACTTTTTTGCTTCAGTCTTCACTGGCAACCACTCGAACCACACCACCCAAATCACAGAGGATGTTGGCTGGGTCTGGGAGAGTGAAGAACCACCCAGGGTAGGAGCGGATCAGGTCCGGGAACACCTAGAGAACCTGAAGGTACACAAGTCCATGGGACCTGATGAGATACATACACGGGTCCTGAAGGAACTGGCGGCTGAAGTTGCTAGGCCACTAGCCATCATATTTGAGAGGTCCTGGCAGTCTGGTGAGGTTCCTACAGATTGGAAAAGGGCCAACATAACCCCCATCTTTAAAAAAGGGACCAAGGACAACCCGGGAAACTACAGACCAGTCAGCCTTACCTCTGTGCCAGGTAAAATCACGGAAAAGATTCTCCTGGTAGCTGTACTAAGGCACATAAAAAATAACCAAGTGGTTGGTGACAGCCAACATGGCTTCACTAGGGGCAAGTCATGCCTAACTAATTTAGTGGCCTTCTACAACAAAGCTACAGCACTGGTTGACATGGGTAAAGCAACGGATGTCATTTTCCTGGACTTGTGCAAGGCGTTTGGCACTGTCCCACATGACATCCTTGTCTCTAAAATGGAGAGACACAGATTTGACAGATGGACCACTCAGGGGATAAAGAACTGGCTGGATGGTCGCACTCAAAGAGTTGTGGTCAAGGGTTCAACGTCTACATGGAGACCAGTGTCAAGCGGTGTCCCTCGGGGGTCTGTTCTGGGTCCAGTGCTGTTCAACATCTTTGTCAGCGACATGGATGATGGCATTGAGTGCACCCTCAGTAAGTTTGCCGATGACATCAAGTCGTGTGGTGCCGTGGACTCACTTGAGGGAAGAGATGCCATCCAGAGGGACCTTGATAGGCTTGAGAAATGGGC